TATTCTGCAGAATACATTTTTAAAAAATGGTTAAACATAGGACAAACCGCTGTTTTTATTTATATTCTTAGCTTAAACCTCTTTGACATTCATATGTTTTATTTGTAAAACTGACATGGTATTAATGCATTCGATGTGTTTCAGTTATGTAATAAACAATAAACACAGAAAGAATCTAAGAGTGTGGTTCCGACAAAGGAGGAAATGTAGTTATTTAATTTTCAGGATTAAGCAACACAACACAATATTCAGTTTATTGATATAGCGCCAGTTCATGACGGATATCGTCTCAAAGCACTTTACAAAAAGATCGTCTCAATTCAGTCGCACGTACATTTTTAATTGATCTTAGTTACCAAACAGGACAGTAAACTCAGTTAGTTGCTGGAAATAGTTTAAAAAGCGTATATCTAGGGAAACTCAGCATCGAGTCCAACATTGTTTTGACAAACTTAAACATCAAACCAGCACTAACTTTATGCGTGACCAAGTGTCAGGTTCTGCCAGATCTGCTGAATACGAATCCAATTATAGTATAAATTAACCGTTTACGTCAGTAGCTTTTCATGACACTGCAAATGACCATTAATCTCTTCAGTCCTGTAACAAAAGCAGTTCATTTAGGGGTGTCATTCCAAGCATTTGCTGTAAAACACTAACACCTGAGAGAGAGAGGATGTCGCTTCATGGTCAAACAGAGCTTTTGGTGTGTTTTCCTCTCTGCGCAGGCGTCTCTGTCAGCGTTTCCACCTTCAACCTGGTGGCCATCTCCATCGAGCGCTACTATGCCATTTGCAGCCCCCTCGCTTCCATGGCGTGGCAGACGAGGAGCCACGCCAAAAAGGTCATCACCTCCACCTGGGTGGTGTCCTCCATCTTGATGCTGCCCTACCCGATTTCCAGCACCCTGATTCCCTTCACCCGCCTCGACAACAGCACGGGACACATGTGTCGCCTGATATGGCCCAACGCAGTGTTCGAGCAGTCCTGGTGAGATACAAATGTATTCATTGGGGAGATCTGTGCTACACGATTACCGCAAAGCGGTTAGCTTACAATGGCTTTTTTGCCGAGTGGTTTTCTCGTCGAATAGAAAACATGATTGAAACGGCTGCATATCTGCTTGGTTTGTCCAGGGAGTTGGGTTTTGTTACAAGTGATATGGGCAGTTGCCCAGGGTGTAAATAGCAGGGGGATGCACCGGTACAATCCTGGCTTGAATGAGTTTTATATCACTTTTATACGTGTGCAGGAACCCCTAAGCAGACACGAAAGCTTGGCAGTAAGAACAGAGATCAGACTCTGTTTGCTAGCTCATGTTGAGTGAGATACAAATTACCCTTTATTTGTACCTTTAGCCACATGGAACCATTAAATCTGAAGAAATTCTGCTTTATTTAAGGGAACGGTGAGGAATCCTCACCCAGGGAAACAATCATTCAGCCCACCTTTAACTTACTACAATGTAATTTGGTGCTGCCTTGAGTTAAATCCAACGAATGCTCACTGCGGTGCAGTAATTCTGGTGAAATGTCATCGTAGGTACATCGCGCTGCTGCTGGTGCTTTTCCTGATTCCTGGTATCATGATGGCGACGGCCTACGGACGCATCTCCTTGAAGCTGTACAAGGGAATCAAGCGAGCGCAGTCCCTGAAGAGCTCCAGCAGTGGTATGACATGACTGCAACAATTACATGTGTTTTTAATGTTTTATTGTTTGTTGCCATTTTAGTTTACCTTGAAGCACGCGACAATGTGTTTTGAGTGCTTTACAGCATGTTGAGAAACATTAAAACATTTTACAGTGTGGATGACTGAATTAATTAGAGCTGAGACCACAGACGTACAAGATGCTACTTTAGCATTGTTGCGGAGTAGAAGAGCATGACAAGTTTGCTTTAAAAACAACAGAAGTGTTCTTGCAAACTGGATTTTTATGTCATTTATCACTCAATGCTAATAATGTACGTCACAGAGATAAAAACAAACAATATCTGCAAGTCAAAGTAAGCTTAAGTCGATTCTAAGAACTTCAACCAATTTTATTTTTTTGCTAAACCAAACCAATTCATTCGGTTTTAGACCCATTAATGAAAATTGCAGAATGGGAAATCTAAAGCCAAAAGTCCCTGCTGTAGCGTAAAGAGTCCACTCTGAAACTGCTACTTTGTTTTTCCGCATGCTCGTCCGCACCAGAACGCCACGCCAGCACCGGCAGCGTCAAACCAGCAAACGGCAATGGCTGCAACTCATCTGAGAGCAAGAGAATGAGGAGGACCAGAAGCGGCGAGTTACCAGAGACGTCCCGAAACTCCAGCCAAAAGGAGCTGGTAGCCAATAAACGCGTCATCCACATGCTCATGGTCATCGTCGTTCTCTTCTTCCTCTGCTGGACCCCCATCTACGTCGTCAACGCGTGGAAGGCGTTCGACAAGAACTCGGCGAACCGTCTGACGGGGGCGCCCATCTCTTTCATCCACCTGCTGTCCTACACCTCGTCCTGCGTCAACCCCATCGTCTACTGCTTCATGAACAAACGCTTCCGGCGGGCCATAGCGGCTACCTTTTGTAACTACAAAATCCTGTGGAGAATCCGGAAGTGGTTCTACTATGGGAAGACAAAGAGGCCATCTGTTTGGCACAAACACGGTGAAAGACGATATACGCTGTCCAGTGCCATGAACATCTATTCTCAAAGCATGAGAGAGAGCACACCCTGCGTCAACGCGAACATCCCCATGACGCAGTGCAGCGAGGTCCCGTGATCTCACTGCACGCTGTGTGTAGAAGTGCCGCCCGGAGTGAAGACAGACAGCGTGTTGTGTGTTGCTGAGCCCTCACAGTGCTTTCAGGACCAGTTTATGGGTATTTCTTTCATTTTAAGCTTGGTGTGGAACGACACGAGTCGGTAGGCTAACTCCTGCTCGACGCATGCCCCTCACAGCGGACGATCGTAGCCAGATGTTTCCCGGAGACCTTCAGAGTCCAGAGTACTGACGATGCTCATTCAGCTTCAGGGACCGCGAGCGTGACACGAAGTGCTCTGACGCAGCAGTAAATAAGTCAATGTCCCAGTTCTATGCGTAAACTCCTACACATACTCCAGAAGCGTCGTGAGCCCTGGAATTACACATATGAAGAAATAAACATTTTTCTTAAATAATTTTTTTTTTGAAGATGTTAAAACAATGTCTAATGTTTAAAGACCAGTCCACAAGCAAAAATAAGTGGGACTTTTTTTTTTATTATTATTATTTTTAGTCACAAAAAATCAATGTCCTCAGCAGAAACTAATGAAACTCAGTTTTGTTTTTCTTTTAACTATGTAGCTGATCAGTTGCCTAGTTCATAGTTGCCCACTCTTGGTCGTGTCTGTAAGTTTGTTTCTTTTGTTGTTGTATTTGGAAGTAACAAGTATTAGTTGCTAAAAGTAATTAGCGCCACAAGCATTCAGAGTTGAAGCTAGAAAGCCGTCAGACCTGGCGTGACGCCGTCCCCACCTCTGAGTTTCAACCTCCAAGACAAATCCAATGCAACTTGCGGCTGGATTTGTCCCGATCCCGTTTCCAAGAATTGTTTAAATTCAACTTTGTGCTGAAAAGAATAACAAGTCGGAAGAAATGTTCAGTAGTGTGTTGTGAAATAACAAGTTGCCTTTTGTTTTTATAAAAGGCCGAATCAAAGACAACAAATCCTAAACATTTTACGTTAATTTCTTCACTGATGTCACAATGATGTCCTCGCTTCAAACCCATTTTCATTTAATTGGTTTTCACTCTGTTTCGTATTTTGACAGCATTTTTAAAAACGCTTGTCATGCAGGCTTGCACATGAGAAAATGAAGGATATTTTTGTAAACCTTCCAAGCCCCGTCATTTCTTTGAAGTATGTTTTGCCTTTCACTGTTGTGAAAGTCAACGTGTTCTGGAGATCGATGGGGTGTGGTTCACAGTGATCTGCTGCGTCACAACAGGTTGTGTTACCTTTCTGTAAGGACACGGTCTGGTTTTATTTATTTTTCATACCAAAGGATCAACTCACTACATGGAAATTAACTTTTTGTGCAGTGCGAGTGCCCTCGGGGTTGCCAAATATTTCTTAGGTGACTTAATAAATAAAGGATGGCTCAAGTATTACTTTAAGTTTTAATGGTACCGGTGAGTAAATAGTCCGTGTACCTTAGTTTGAGATCAAAAGTTGTGGTGGATATTGAGAGTTTGCACAGTGTGGGAGAGCTCAAGTTTTATTTTTTATTTTATTTCCCCTTTCTTAATACAGATACATCTAATTTTCAAGAGTCAACTTTAAAGTTTAAACCTAAACTTTTAGAGAACAAAAGGTTCAATCCCTGACATTTTGGAGTGCTTTTGAAGCTTAGTCGCTGCTAAATGTTGAAAACAGCACTTTTGAAGTACAACTAGTTAGTGTTCTTTAGCCTGATGCTAACGAGACAGTATAGGTCGGCATAGGGAGTCTATGTTTTCCATTTTAGTAAAAATATATTTTGTACTCAATCACAACTGTAAGGAAAGAAAAGTTGTTAGTTTGTGATTTCCTTAGCAATTAGCAGGAAGAGTAAAAAGAGTGGGAAAGTCCCAAGGCTGAAAGCACAAGTCAAAATTACAGCAACACATGTAAAAATCTAAATAATTCTAGCAAATTTGAATTTAAATTAAATTAAATGCAACGTTAGTTTAAAAAATGGCTTAACTTTCTATGGTTAGAAGTATTTCTGCTCCCTTTAACGAGAGAAACTGAACTGAACTAAGCTTACTGTGGCTAAATAATCAATCCAATGTAGCTTTTTTTTTTTTTTTTTTTTCTCACCACAATTTATTAGTCGTTTTCAGCATTGAATTTACATACTGGAACATTTTTATACTTCTGAAAAACTAAACGCCGAGACACTGAACCGCATTTAGGTTCTCTTTGATTTGAATCTTTACATGCTGCCTTCCCACTTCCCTAGAAGATATCCTCAACTTCTAGGAATCGCCGGCCTCACCGACACATTAATCACAACCAGCAGCTTCGATCTGAAACTCCCCACCGCTGCACAAACAGCTGCTGCCCTTGACCCTCTGTATGTATGTGTACCTAAAGGACTGGGTAACTGGAGAGGCCTTATCTTTTTGTGGGATTTGTAACACCTGCAGCTTGTCTTTAAAGAGTCAGTCTCTCACCTCGCCCACATGATTTCCACACGTTCTTACTGTCGAACACAGCAGCGTCAATGTAGCAACTTGTGCATGTTTTTTTTTTTTTTTTCCTGTGAGTTTACATGTGAAGAATCCAAATATTTCTCTCGTCGTTCTCTGCCAGCTGTGATGTGAAATGTCGGCTCTCAAACGTACTCCGCCGTCTTTTTGTGATCAGGCTCGTTTCAGGCGAACGACTGACTAGAAAAATACGATCGTGGGATATTTGTCGACTTATTGCGGACTTATTGTGTTTGTCGGAAAACGTTTCGACTTTTTACAGACGTTTTCCACGAATCACAACTACGAACTTCAATGTGTCTCGCAGGAATTTGTGTAATATATACAGGCGGTGAAGTTGTGCACAACTTTGAAGTGGAAAAAAAAAAGAAATGTCATTTAGAGAAAAAAAAAATGTTTACAATTAAATAAAAAAAATTTAAAAAGTGTGGCATGCATTTGTATTCAGTTCCTCTTGTGGAAGAGTTTTTTGGGGTTATGGCTCCACACACAGTGCTGATAAAAAGTATTCACCCGTTGAATGTTTTCTGCTTTTTCATTGCTTTTACAAATTATAGTCAACAATATTTGGCTTTTTTTGACAAAAAAAACCCCCTTTGATATCAAAATGATACTGATTTCTATAAAAAATAATTGTATAAACATATTTAAAGTAGAATAATTGATTGCATAAATGCCCCCTTCCCAAAGGATCAAAGGGGGTGAAAACTTCTTATCAGCACTCTAACTCTTACTTATTTAGGTCTGACTGAGTCAAACACATGATTAATATAATTAATTTCAGCGGTGCGTGGGTCATAATTATTGGTATTTTGTGACAAACGTTTGGCGCCAACTAGATGTGAATGTTATTGTACGTCCAAGAAGAAACACACATTTTTTTTACAGTTTTAAATTGTGAAGTTTGTGTGTAAAGTGCTGTGTATAAAAACCTGGAGCGCACACATTAAGATCCAGGGCAAAACAAGTCGGTGCTTTTAGTGGGTTTCAGAAAGTGGACCTTGAAGGAGAAGAGCGACTCTGGCGAGACTCGTGTGTCACTGAAGGAGCAAATAAGACAAAAGCTTTACGTAAGAGCAGGACAAATCCAGGTCAGTTATCCGTTACCCTTTTTAGCATGAATTCAGAGTAAAAGTAATAAAATGATTTTAAAAAATATATACTTTCACTGACCAAAAACATTCACATTTCGTCACTTTTTAAATTCTCATTTTATTCCAATATTGCAAGTTTTTTTTCTTGGGTTTTTTTGTTGTTTTTTTTTCCCTTTCTTCTTTTAATGACATACAGTTTTGAGCATGATCTGGAGCTGCAATATGTACAAAAACAAACTAACATATGTTATTACAAAAGAAAAAAAAATTAAAATAAAAAACAAAACAAACGTCCCCTTTGTTTTGACGTTATTGCTAAATGTTACAAACGGCACAGGTTTCTACCATCAGACACCCTTTGAGCACTGAGTATATACTACCACATGACACCTCTGCTTACCATTTTACTAGAATAATACACAGATAACAGTGAGAGTAGCGGGAGATGAAGACGAGGAGGAGATGAAGACAAAGAAAGGGCGGTCCAGGTAAGCATCGACGATAAAAGAAAAAAGAAGTGAGAAATCTTCAATTGCACAATGGAAGATAAAAACAAAAACATTAAAAACAAATGGAGGATGAAATGTGTGAGAAGAAGTAGAAAGTTTAGCGCTCTGTAGTGCAAACAGCCAAATAGTCTAAAAGGAGAAGTAAGGCTGAGTGCGACAGAGAAAGGGCTCCACACTCCGTTTTATTCGTTTAAAGCTGCCTCTCACTCTGCCCTGTTTTTTTTTTGTTTCGTTTTATTTTTTGTTTTGTTTTTGTTTGTTTTTTGTTAAGCAGTGCATGAAAACTACATTATTATAAAAAGACATTTGGCATATTAAGAAGATACATACATTGTTCAGAGCTCATAAAAACACATCCACACAGAACAGCTGCTTTTTTCTTTTTTGTGTGTTTTTGGTAGTGTAAAATAAAAATAAAAAAAACACGACAAGGACGCACGGAGAGGAACAAAAAGACACGAAAGCAAACGAGGAGAGACAGAGAGGCGGTGTTTTCCCTCTTGTGAAGGTTCATATCAACACAGCGTGCGTATTGAGAAGGCATGTAACATCTTTTTTTTTTCCCCCACAGTATGTTCCCCCTTCTTTTTTGAGTTAGCACATTCTGAAAACAGAAAACCCAGTAAATTAACTCGGATTGTCGAAGGCGACGGATTTGTTGAGAGCAAGAGCCGCCATTTTTGTTTTCTTAATGAATCTGAAAGCTGCTCCAGATGGCGCGGTTTGCTTCGAGGCGGCAACACGTAAACAAATATTTAATCTTAGAAGACGGAGGAAGGTAAAAGATAATAATAATAATAATAATAATTACAGTTAAGATTTGGTGACCTCCATCCTGCAGAGTAAAGGGAAGCGCTGTTTGGATGCTACACCGCTGCTGCAGCACTTGTTTTTATCTATTTATTTTCTAAGTTTAAAGTCATTCCAGGAAGTGGCGTACTTTAAGGGAAACTAGAGGCAGCACGGGCAATAATGCACTTTTTTTTCTCCATCTTTTTTTTTTTTTTGTTGAAAATTTGACGTAAGACAACGGGAGACTTTGTACCAATAATTTAAAAAATATCAATATTACAATATAAAACATTTTACATTAATAAACATGATGGATAAGAACAGGGCATAACTTAACTCATCGTTTCTTTTCTGCGCTTTTTTTTATACATTAAAGGGGGGGTGGAACGAATCCTTTTCTGTTCCTGTTTCAAGGTGTAACAAAGTTATGAAACACTTCATTGAGCAGACATTCAAGTTACAGTGCTGTTCTCGTTTTGTATTGCCTTTGAATGTCTCCCCACAAGCTAGACGTTTTTTCTTTTTTTTTGGATCTGGTGGAAGACCGGAAGCTCAATTTTTTTTTTCTTTTAAATGGACCGAATCAGTATTCGGTCACAGTGACGACATTACGGCACTAGCACGCTTTAAGGAACTTGCTGGCTGGTGAACTAGTGCTCAGGCGAATGAGAACACAAAACCACGACAATGAAATGACCTGTACAATATTGCTGTTATGTTCAGAAATGCACGTTTTCGTTTTAAATACACATTTAAAAAGGCCTTGTTTTTTTTTTTTTTTGCTCCCAAAGGCGGTGACGTCACCGCCGGCGCGATGAACCACAGGATAATTTAGACAGAACAGAAAGCTGAGAGGGGCTTACAGCAGTCACGATGTAGGCATGGACCGAGTTTAGATTAAAAATTAAAAATAAAATAAAAGTTTTCAATTCACACAAAAAGAAGGCGATTTCCTTCACTTATTAAAACAAAAAACAAAAAGAAACACATTTGGCTGGAAACCTTTCTATTCCAGAAAACGCGTGCAGCTATGGAGTGCAAACAAAGGCATCAGTCTCTGTTACAAGTTCAAAAGCACAGCATTTTCCCACCTTACAGTTTCTGCACAAGTCTTTAGGTTCAGAAGTGACCCACCTGCTGCTGCACACTGACAGTCAGCTGGCTGAAAGGTCATTTTATTGTCCATCGCTTACAAGAAAGCACATCTGCTGAAGGAGTACGAGTAGTAGCTACAAAGCTAGTTAGTCGTTTTTTTGTGTTTTAAGATAAAAAAAAAAAAAATAATGCCAAAAGGAATTATGTTTGTTGATTTGAGTGCTTGGAGCCTACAATTTAATTTATTTCTATTTTATTTTGTATTTTTGCTCTCAAGTCTATGCAACAAAATCAAATTAGAAACAAAAAAAATGCTACAGCGCTTTTTTCCCCCCAAGATTTTACCATCTACCATTAAACTAAAATTTTCATATCCGTTATAAGTTGAGCTATAAAGTAATCTCATAACACTGCCAACATGCTTCTTCTGACTGGCAGTAATTTTAATATTTAATCACCAAAAATAAAATAAAATATAAAAAATACCAATGGAAACCAGCAAATATAAGAAGAAATACTTAAGTAGACTTTTTTTTAAAATTATTTTCACTTAAGCTCTGAACATTGTCTCATTACCGGTTAGCAGATCTCATTTCAAACCAGATAAAACATGTTAAACTTAAACATGTATGAAACATTTTGGGCCTTACCTGTAAAAATTAACTACTGGTCACATCTATGTCAAATTTCAAAACTAATTTTGAGCATTAATATAGAGCAAATGGTGTAAATAAGGGGGGAGGAAAAAGTTGCATTTTCAGACCAGAAAAACACACAAAGAAGAATTTTATGTTCACTTTTAACCAGCAGAGTTAGGAAGAGTTGAGAATTCAATATGTGGTGGGAAAACCTGGCATTTTGCTCTTGTGGATCAGTACCTTAAGAAGTAAAACAAGACGTGGCGACGTTTGAATTCTTGAATAGAAAGGCTTTCGTTCAGGCGTAGAAGCAGATAAAGCGAATTATTCCAGCTGGCGTTCTTCCCGTTTTAAATGGGAGTAAATTTAAAGTCTTTTTGTAAATATTGTGACCTTCTCCCCCCCTCGAGGTTATCGCACTGGTCCATGCCTACTTGGGAGAGATTGTCCCAACCGTGGCAGCAGAAGAACACTATTGAAACGAAAACAGAAGAGCAGGGATCTTTGTGTTTGTACACTACAAAAAAAAAATAAAAGAAAACAAAAACAGGAAGGCTTCAGAAGAAGGAGGCTGCTTTTGCAGGCAGGGTGAAGCCGCAGCGATGAGCTCAGAGACAGCGGAGCTCCTGTGATAAGTAGCGAGGCATTAGTTTGTGCTACGCACAGCTTCTTCCAAGGTGAGTAAACAGCATATAAGAAAAAGGTGAACTCTTTTCTTTTTTTTCCCCCCCGTCGTTTTGCAGTAAGGCCACATCAAATTGAAAAAGTGTCCATCGTTTTGTGTGTGTGTGTGTTTTTTTTCTTTTCCTTCTTCTTTTTGGAAAACTACCGGATGTAAGCAGAGCACGTGCTGGAAGACGCCTCGCCGGGTGCAGTGAGCAACAGATATTAGATATGTGACTGGTCTGACTGTGTGCACAGTAAGAATATACAGTACTAAGGCTTACTAACGCTTATTACATTGAGTTTGACTTGTTTTTGTAACCAAGAAAGTCTTTGTTTTTCTTCCTTTTTTTTTTTTCTCCACATATTCTACAGATGTTGCTATGGCTCCATGTGAGATGTACTGAAGCGTTTGCGTTCCAGGAGATGCGGCGAGCACGCAGAGTATTGCAGGCAAGGCAAAAGGCGTTGCTTAAAGCTTTTTCTTTTTAAAGACTTCATAAAAACCAAAAAGGATAAAAAATATAGGCCCCTCTGAGGTCGTCCTCCCCCCCCCCAATAAAAACAAACATAATAAAAACCAACCTTCGCTTATGTGAATAAACAAACCCAGACTTCAGATTTTGTTTTTTTGTTTTCTCCCCCCACCCAAAAGAAGACGTATCAAAAGAAAAAAAACAAAACAAAACAAAAAAAAAACAATCCAAAGACTGAGAAGCAGACGTTTGTTGTAAGGTCACATTAACATAAAAGGTTTGGGAGTTTGGACCTCAAACAGGGGGCAGAGGGGGAGGGGAAACAAAGCCCAAAAGCTCAGAGAAGGAATAGAAACTATTTGGTAACAAAAGTGTACTATATGTTTAATACAAAAAAAGGTATGGAGAAAAATGTACCTTTACTAAAGCTTATACAAGATCCTTGGTCCATAAAAACTATGTTATCGTCACGATTTTGTGTGTCCCTCTGCGTCCTGCAACAACAACAATACGCCCAGCCGATGGGCGTGGGAGCTGATCAGCGTGAATCCAGGCGGGCCGACGGCGGGCCGATCCGTTCAGGTTGTGGTCGGCGTTGCGTTCAGGGTGGATGTATTGTTGTCGTCGTCGTTTCTCACAGCTGAAGGAAGGTGCTGGTGCTCTGAGCCTGCAGGAACGTCACTCGTTCCAAACGCCGGGATTAAATAGGCAGGTCCCTAAATTAACCGCGGGGTCGTCACACGGAGCTCTTCTGCTTATTCCCATTGGCCGACACCGTCGGTGATGTCGCTCCTTCAGTTTTGCTCCTTTCGTTTGTATCCCAAGCTAAAACACGCAGCACTCTACGACGAGTCAAGAGTTTGGGTTTGATTCCTATAGTCTGTCATGTAATATACCCCAAGGTGTGTTTCGCTCTCAAGGCATACTGTGTGTGTGCGTTAGGACACCACGGCGGCGGCGGAGGACGAGGACGTGACCCCGGCGCCGGGGGTGCTGCTGGGGCCGTAGACGCCGGGGGCGGCGGCCTCCTGGCCGCTGTTGCTGTGCAGGCTGGCGTTGCCGGCCCGCAGGATGGCACCGGCGGCGCTGCAGTGCGGCCTCGGGCCGGGCTCGGGCGTGTAGGTGAAGGTCAGCGTGGTGGAGTAGATGATGCCGTCGTTCCTCACCAGCGTGACGGGAACCTGGACGGGCTGCCGCACCCAGCGCCAGCCCTCGCGGAAGGCCGAGATGTCGGGCACCACGCACAGCATGCTCTCCGCACACCTGCAGGGTGCGCACAACAGGAAATACGTTAGCAGTTATGGCCCCACCCGCCGAACGCGACCCGAAATCCGGGTTGTTTTGCTCGTGTTCGTGTCCCGGTCAGGCTTCTATGTCGCGTTTCATAGAGCTGCGGCTTACACTTTATTTAATGCAGCCTCAACTTGCTTTTAAAAGTGTTACACAAATAAATTTGACATTATGTCGAAATTTTCCCCTTACTATATGGTATTTTATTCTACTTTATAGTCTTTGTGTGAGTCTACTTGGTCATATTGCCCGACGTTTTGCTGCTGTTGCACAGAAATTTCCCCCATTTCAATACAATAAAGCATATTTCTATTGTATCAATTATTCTGATCATCAATTAATTTGATAAGTGGTGCATTCTACTGATTTTTCATTTAACCCTTTTTTTTTAGACAACGTTAGAAATATATTAAAATAAACAAACATTTCAGCTCCTTTTTGAAAACAAGAAAACAAACATTTTATTGCCTAAGATGCAGTAACAGCATTCCTTTGGTGAATTTGAACCAGGAGAAGCTGGACGTGCAGCTTGAGGAGCTTTGGCTCAAACATATTTAAAGGCAGACGTATACAGCAAAATGTGGGCTAATTACTGCTCCAAATTTATTTATTTCAGCAAACTACCTTATTTTCTGAGTCTGTATGCTCCAGCTAATGATTAATTGATTGCTAAATTAGCTGCCGATTATTTCAATAACCGGTTCATCATTTCAGCCTTAAATATACTCTGCACAGAAAAAAACCAAGCGAGAACGCGTGTTGTGTTGATCCACTTATTACAGTCTAAGCAGAGGAGCAGATGGGTTAACCCGTTGAGAAGATAAATAAAATAAGGTGGAGACGTTCATTAGACTGTAACGAGCGCAGCGCACGCGGCCTCGCCCAGCCCCGCTCCCGTCAATCGCACGGCCCAGACGATTTGCACTCGACTCACCCTGCGGCTACAACAAGCGACAAAATGGAACCGGAAGAGGTTCAGCAAAAGCTGAAAGCGGGAGAATTTACACCGCTAACTCAATTTATGGTCTAAATACGAAAGCAGTGAAATCTTAATTGAAATAATACGCTGGGCTTACTTTGGGCTCGGGCCTATAGTTAAAGTTAATCAGTCGAGTCAGCCTGACTCTAAACTAAAACGTGTGACTTCATGAACAGAATGCAAAAAAATGGCAAACGATCCAGGGTTCCTTCACATCTTCATCCAGACTTTTTCCATCACTAGCGAAAATTAGTTAGTTTCTTAGTGACGCAAAAAGGAGAAAATGGGAAATATTTGACACTAATATGCAAAAGGGACTGCTTTCTTTTCCTACATTTTCACAGAAAGGCATCTCCAGAGTAACTCCCCCCACATTAATGATTTACTCTCAGTGAAAAACACCAGCCTCCCAAATGGTGTTCAAAGAGCCACACATCGTGTCCTTTCTCCGTAAATCTGAACTTACGTAAGAGGCTGAAAGTCCCGAAGGAGATTAAAGGTCTGTCGAAGAGCGACGTCGGGTCATTATTCTGGTATTTCTGAGGCTTTTGCAAGTGAAATGGAGCAGCAGACATGTGACTCAGTGCTACTCTTCATTATGGATACATTTATTTTTCCAAATCCTGAGCTCGTCTTCTTACGTCGCTGCCTGATGGAGGCGTCTTTCAGTGACGTTCTCAGTCTGTTTGAAGCTTATATTTCACTTAAAGGACTCCAAAGAAAGTCTTTTGCCCAAGTTACATATTTCTTCTGTTTTTGCTTCTATGCTACACTTTAGTATTTCAGATCATTCAATACATTTTAATACCATGCACTAAGTAAATACAAGACAGTTTTCAAAATCATGATTTGATTTGCAGAGAAATCCATCCAGACCACACCGCGTTGATCCTGTGTGAACATATAATCGCTTCCTTTTTAAATCATGAATTAACCAAGATTAAAACATTTTTTTTTCTTTTTTTAGTTTCGTATCACCGTCACGCTCAGGACAGAAAACTAGCAAACTAACAGAACCCTAAAAAGACTTAAAAAGAACCTGTAAAACAACATGAAGCAGGCAAACCACAGCATCCACAAACTTCGCATCATTATAATCCGACAATAGAAAGTAAAAATTTTTTTTTTAAATGCAGATATTCTTCAAAAAAAAAAAAAAAAAAAAGGGGGAATTTTCTCTCTACAATCCAGAAAAGCAGCAACTGACCTGTACATGGTTTCAGCCTCGACATCGCCGAACCAAACCCGCAGATTTGGCGTGAAGTTCTGCCCCGTCAGCTCCAGCATGGCGACGTCCCCACCGCCGTTGAGCTGCAGGGGGCGGACAAGACCAGACCAGTTCAAACACGTGAACAGAGCGTCGGCGCGAAGACGTTCGCTCCGAGAAAACGCCGCACACCGCGCCGAGGCTACCTGTAAGCTCTCTACCACAGGCACAGGGGTGACGGGTGAGTGGACGGGGCCCATGCCCTCGTAGAAAGTGTACTCTGCCTTGTCCGTGCTGATGATTGTCCAGGAGGCGCCGTCGTTGATCATCTCCTTGTTTGGTTCCTTTGGGCATGGAGTGGCCTGGCATGGAGGGAGGAGGAAGGTCAATGGGGATTCGAGAGAGCTACACATTGTATGCAGAGGAAATGGTGGCACGGACTTGAAACTGGATGATCCTTTCTTGGGAAAGGCACAGGTACATGCGCTCCGTGTCCTTCAGGTAGAAGGCACACTTGTGCAGCTGGGAAACCGGGTCGTCGGCGTCCAGCAGGGCCGTCTGCTTGTCGACTTTTCGAATGATCTCGTAGGAAAACAAACGGAAAGGAGCAGATAAGCCGATCGAGGGATGGATGTTATGATAAAGCAGAGGGTTGGACGGGAAGACAAGAGATCGAGATCGCCGAAAAAGGACAACAAAGACATGTAGGAAGAAAAAAAGGATTACTTTTTGATTGCAAAAGTATTCACACACTGGTTAACGTTTTATAACTGCTTGTCAAACTGCAACAAGAGTTGAATGTGTTTTATTAGGATTTTCTGTGATAAACCAACAAAACGTTGATCATAATTGTGAAAAGAAAGGAAAACAATATAAAACCTTTACTTTTTGGTGTGTTTGTATTCTGTCCCAGTCAATTACTTGCAAAAAAAAAAAAACTTCTGCAATTTTAGCTAAAAGCAATTTGAAACCCAAACTATCAGTTTTGAGGATCTAGAGACTGAGATGCTCATCAGTTCTTCCAAAAAAAAAAAAAAAAAGCTCAAACTCAGACTGCATGAAGAGTGTCTGAATATTTCCTAAAGGCATTAGTTCTTGACTTTGACTAGGCCATTCTAATACCATTTTGCTGCATCTCTGCCTGAAAGCTGGTGATGGTTGTCCTGCTGAACAACCATCTAATGGTTGCACTTGATTTTATTTAGGGGCATCAGAACAAAGGGGACTTGTATACAAATGCAGGGCACACTTTTCAGGGTTTTATTAGAAAAACATTTTGCAAACCATGTAAAGTTTCCTTCCACATGACAACTATACACTACTATGTGTTGTTCTATCATAAAACTCTGAAAATGAACCGAAGTTTGTGGAGCTAATGTGACAAAATTGGAAAAAAGTACAAAAGGAACAAATACTTTTGAAAGGCAATGTAGGTCAGAAGAAAACGAGGTTAACAAACATAAATAGATGGAAGAAAAGACTAAATGTCAGTTTGCCGCTCAGAAGAACATGAGTCATGGAATGAGTGAAGAAAAACAAGGCTGACTTTGTCTAAGAATGATTATTTGAACAAAGTAAAAGTCCAACGTTTATGAAGACGGGGGAGAAATAAACTCCTTTTGTGCCAGAAGAGAAGAAGATTGACAGCTCTGTGCAGCCTGCTAATTAAAGAACAATGAGAAGATCTAGTTTCCTCACAGTGCAAAACAAAGACGGGGTAAAAACTGTTTACAAATATATATATATTTATATATATATGGAAGAAAATGGCATGATTTTGTGGGTACTGGCAGTCTGGTTTTGACATGTTTGGACAGAGGCAGGACGGCAGCATCACTCAGACTCCGTTTGTGAGTGTTGGCGGAGGAGCAGCAAAATGTTCGCCTGTTTCTGCTGCAGTTTGCCGCTTCTAATGTTTTCCCCTGATCTCAATCATTGAGATGTTATCATTTATTATCATTATTTATTTTTACCAGTCTGGGCAGCGCCATGCCGGTGACCGAGCACACCAGCTTGACCGTCTGGCCGTAGTGGATGTAACCGTCTCTCACAGTGAACTCCTCTCCTTCTGACTCCTCGTCATCCACTGGAAACGCAAAGAAACGACCAATCAGAGCCGCCGCTTCACGCTCCACACACACACACACACACACACACACACACACACACACACACACACACTCGCCACCAGTCAGTCACTCCAGTTCATCTCTCAGTCACACGTCGTCGCGTTTGGGTGAGGGCGACTCACACAGGTGGATGTAAAAAGCCCCCCACTGCTGGGAACTGGCGTGGAAGTTGCCCCCCTCCACATGCAGGTAGCGCGTGCTGACCGTTTGGGAGCGCAGTCGGTTGAACAGCGCCACCTTGGTCCCTGATGCGATGCACACTGCGGGCGAGAACAGACAGGCTTACGTAAGGAGAGCACGGCCTGCTGTGCACCGGGCGACAGGAGGTGTAAACACAGCCAGGCGACAGACACTGTAGATTTAACTATGCTGCCCCCTGGTGGACAAACTAACTTATTATTTTTTTATGATAAATTTTAGTTTGAATTCCCATACTTTTAACTTGAATTTAAAAGTGCAAAATGCAGGACATTTAATGGGGGAAAACATTCCAAAAGCAACCAATGAGGGTTCAGATAATAAAAACTCAATGAAAATTTGAAATAAAAGCACAAGTAATAGACTTAAATGTGCAATCATTGGTAATTTTTTTTTTTAAGAGGAGAAAATTAAGAAGAAATTAGAATTCTAACTTTTTCCTTAAGAATAATTTTTCTTCATAAACATCAGCAGTTCAAACACACGCATATGCGCTGATGGGAAGATTTACGACTCTACTTTAAGACTGTTGAAACAATCCGCCCAAACAGGTTCCAGACAATTAATGGTGCCACGAACCTGGGGGAAAGTCTGGTCTGAACACAGTGCTGGTCGCGAATGCCAGTGAAAAGCACTAAAACCTTTCTGCTAGAAAGAGGAGCTTGTTTTTACAAGAAAAGCTCTGAGGCACTAAATCATCGGCAGGAAACGATGTTGAAGGTGTAAATTTAAACTCAGTGTTTGCATTTTTACAGAGTCAAAATGTCAAGAAAGCAATGGAACAAAGTTTTTCCCCCTCATTTGAAATCCTTGTTGGGTGTTAAAATACTGCATGAAACAGTCAGACAGTATTTGCATTCTGCAGTTTTCCAAGTTTGCAGAGCTGCAGAGTAATATTTTTGAGTTAAAAGCAGTGAAAGGGACATTTATAAAGATAAAAATCTAACCAAAAAAGGACAAAACAAGCTCTAGAAACATGGAGAGCATCTCTACAAAAAAACAACATTTTCTTCAGTCTGTAGGAGAAATCCTAAAAAACAAACAAGGTGCTGACTTGTTTTTGCTAGAAAAGTAAAATATATTTTTTCACTAACACAGATTCGACGATTGTGCTCCATCGGTGAACCGACGGCAAAGACAAAGACACACAAAAAAGAGGAAACTCGTCCAACTCACGGTCAGCGTTTTTGAGGGACTGCTTCTTTTTGGAGGGCTTGGAGATGACTTTGATCCTCTTGCTGAGGAAGACGCCAATGTCTGCGCTGTTGCCGTAGAACATCTTGACGGACAACATGAAGTGCTTTCTCTTGTCGGAGTCGGATATGTACAAGGTTTTGGCTGTGCAATAATTCTGAGGAGAAATAGTGAATCGTTCGATTAGTGAGCCGACAGGTCAGCGTCAGATTTATGCTTTCGTGTTCATTTATCTGCCGCCGGATGTTTAGATAAATCCACTGAAAACTCATATCTAATGTTTGTTTTTAACTGTTGTTCTGAATTTACTCAGAATCTCCTTTAATCTAATCGGCTGCAAAAGTGAGTGAATCCACAGTTCCTCTTAGCATCTTCATTGGACTTTCTTCTAAGTCTAAATATTGGTTAATCCAATAAGGCTGTCAGATTGTGAAGGCTGCAATTCATTTCAGCTTGCATATATAAGGTGCACACTGTGCGAATTTGGAGGAATCCAGAGTAAACACTTTCTTCTCCCGAGCGTCGTTTTGTGTAGTTTGTACCTTTCCCTCTAGGTTGAGCTGTTGCATTTCTTGGTCGCTGTTGCCGATGCCGATGAAGGCACACGGCTGCGACTCGTGCTCGTTGCAGCCGTCTCTCTCCATCTGCTCCTTCTTTTTCTTCCAGCCGCTGCCCATCAGGTAGACGCAGGGAGGAGGGCAGAAGAACCTGGAAACAATGGGGGGGGTGGCTTTTTTTTTTTTTTTTTTTTTTTACAAAGCAGCTCTGTTTCCAAGACAACCTTCTCTAAATATGCTTTTGAGCTTTTAAGAATCAACATTTATTCACGTCTCGAATATAAAAATAATTATTTTAAGTCAAATTACTTGGAATTTCGGTCAAATTAAACCAAATATTGTGCATCCTAATTCACACCAGTAGAGGGCAGTCTAGTGTCATCTCTCTCTTGCAGTGGAAAGAAAAAATCTGGTTCAATATTTTTATCTGCAACTTTATTTCAAAAGTTGTTGCACTTTGCGGTGCAGACACACACACACACACACAAACAAACAACTAAATTTCAAAATCAATTTTAGACATTTTAGTCCTTCACAAATAAACCGTCGAAAAAGAAAAAAACGAGCTCATTACTGGACGAACTGGGTTCATGTGGAACTGGAGAGCAGGCTGTTTCGCAACTCCAGACTCCGTCTCTGTGGGTGTTTGTCTACTTTCACCTCCTATAAAAAGCACAGAAGAAGCGAGAAGCGGCGAGAAACGGGTGTGGGGGTTTGGGGGGGCATTTAAGGATCTCCGTTCACCTCCACCCTTCAGGACCGTGTGTAAAAAAAAAAAAAAAAAAAAAAACTGAAAGTGCCATGCAGAGAGGTGCAACCTGATAAAGCAGCATCCTGCAGAGTCCTGCTGGACAAAGACTATTATCTGAGGAATTCATCTTTTTCCAGCTCTTGGTGGTTGGCGTCCAACGTTTGATTTGCCAAGAGGAGATAGGCGGCCTGATGAGATTGCAAGCAGTGTCGCAAGCAAAGCCAAAAAAAACGGAGCGGAGCCGCAGAGAGCAGCGGAATGAAGACGCGCAGCGTTTCGGGGGGGAAGGAGGCTATAAAAAGTTGCAGCGTGGGGTGGAAAGGTGAAGCGCAGGGTTACAGGAAGGATTTGAGGAAGAAGAGAAGAGTTCAAGAGAGCGGAGTTGAAGAAAAAAAAAAAAAAAAACAGGAGGTGTTGCATCAGCTGCTGATTGAAGTGCAGCTACATGTGTTGCATAGAAGATGAGTTGAAAAGTTTGACGGCAGCACAGGCTCTGCAGCTTAGACCCAACCAATGAAATTCCTCCCGATTTCCCAAAACATTCCCTCTGGAGGAGTTCGACTTCCAGCTCTAGCTGCCTTCAGCTCAATGCGTTTTCCATGCTCTCCGTCGAGACTGATCAGTGCAATACCTGAAGGAAAACGTTGCTTTGTTTGTGTTCATACAATAGCCGATAGCCGAAGTTCGGGCCTCCAGTCAGTCACACGGCAACAATTAACACTTTTACTTAAAAAAAAAAAAAAAAAAATACTGGAAAATCGAGTTTGAAACGGTTTCGTTTAGGAGATTACGCAAACTGGAGCAGAAAACGCCAAACCTGGATATTGTACAAACTAATGTTTTTTTGTCATGTAACACACACATTCATTACACAAAGAGTGAAACATTCCAAGCTTTTATTTTCTGGTAGTTTTGATCACTCTGGCTCATACATGAATCAGATCATCGCACACAGTGCATACAGAAAACGACCCGCTTCTGGAAAGTCGGTTCAATTCTGTTTGTTTTGCTTGAATTACTGCATCAATGCAGCGTAGAACGGAGGCAGTCGGCTGAAGTATGACGGGAGGAAACACGAGCTGCTCTGAATGACCCGGGTAGACGTTTGCATTGTCTGTCACAATAATCAATAAAATCAATCAATTGCATGATAAATTAAGACAAACTCAATCATTTCCATTGGCACGATCTATCGTTTATATCTTTTTCCTTTCTTTCTGGATGATAAAAGTCTTCAGTTTGGTGCTTTTGGTCTAAGCTAAACATTTTTTTTTTTTTTTTTTGAAGGAAAACTTAAAACTTGTTTGGAGAGATGTCATAATTAATTTTATTTATTGTCTTGTTTATTTATTTTGGATATTTAAGATGTCTTCCACTTCCAGTGTTAAATGTTCTTTAGAATTGAAAGTTTATTGATCCTTGAGAATGTCTTCTTGTGTTATTAGCATGCCATTATCATTGAATTGCACAAGAATGATCTCAAACCAACAGTATTATTGATTATCCCGATAACTCCTGGAACTATTTATGTGCAGACGAAAGCTTGTGCGCTAATTTTCTTTTGAGGTGGACAGAATTGGTTTTACAAGCAGGCAACGGCCGACTGCCAATCTCTAAAAAATGAAGGAAATCGGGGGCGATTTATTGGTGCAGCCCTGATCGTATCCTTTCAAATACTGTGTCAAAGTATTCCTTTGTCAATTGCGAAAATGCATTTTTTGCAGCTCTACGTCCGAGTCAAAACCTTCACACTCATAGAGCTTTATTAGGCGTTTCATCTACAACTTGGGAAAAACAAAACGTTTGGAAAAAAAAAATAGATTTTTGTTCATACCAAGAAACCCAGACGAGCCCACAGTGAGCTCAAACGCCACCCAGGAAAACTGGAGGTGCGAGTTTTGTTTTCAGCATCCCGAGGACGAACTAATCCATAACACCCAGTCTGTGTTAATCCCTCTAAGGGTCGCCTTGTTTTTTTAGGGGGGTTGGGGGGGGGGGGGTTTACACGGGTTTTGTTTTGTGATGGCTGCTTTCTCACGGCAGCGTGGCGTCCAAGTGCGACGATCGTTCAGAGAGAGAGAGAGAGATGAAGAGAGCCGACGTCGATCGGGGGCTCACCTTTTCTCATTGCCGTAGGATTTCTGTGCAACTTTTGCGTGCAGGATCATGACGGTTTGGTCGCCTCGCTCCTTTAGGTAATTCCTCATCGCTTCTCTGCAAAACAAAACAGAAACATTAAAGTTTTATCACCGACATCGACCTCGTCACTTGGAAAGTAAAGGTTTTTCGTTTGTTTTTGTGTTTTTTTTCCTTTGGATTACAGTTGCAATGATTCATCAAAAAGCGTACAGGTTGAGAAGAAAAACGAAAAAAAAAAAAAAAAAAAAAAAAACAAAAACCCCCAACGCAAAGCCAAAGGGGCCACCCGGGAAACAG